TGAGAAGGGTGGGGCTGGCTGCCGTTTCCTCCTCATAGAGAAAGGATGTATCAGGTAAGACCAATGTCCATTCTCCACATCAGAAGGAAATTGCAGTCAGGCATGGGACATACCAAAGCTGAATGTCCACAGGGAGGGAAGAAAACCAGGCCCTGCTTCCCTAGACAGTGTGGACAGCCTGGAGAACTCAACGTCCAAAGGCCGCATCTGCCGAGTCCATCTTGTAGTGATGGATAAACGGCGTTAGGCTGGTCCAGGTGGCAGCCCTACAAACTTCCTCTAACGAGGCCTGGGTAGACCAGGCAGCCGAAGTAGCCGCGCTTCTGGTGGAGTGCACAGTAATGTTGCGGGAAACCAACAACGACTGTCGTTGATAAGGCGTGGTGATAGTGGCCCTGATCCATCTGCCCAGCATAGGCCCTGTGGCCTTAACGCTGATAGACGTTGGTTGGAATGAAAGGCTTCCGTCTTACGGAAGGAGGAGATGGGGTTGATGTAGATTTTGAGGGCTCATCGTATGTCTAGAGTATGCCAGGAGCGTTCCAAACAGTGAACCAGATTGAGACAAAAGTTAGGGAGGACCAGCTCCTGAGCGTGGTGGAAGAGAGAATTAACCTTTGGGACGAAGGTAGGGTCCAACCGGAGAACGACCCTGTCTGAATGGAAAATGCACAGGTTGTGGCGTGTCGACAGGGCAGCCAGCTCCGAAATGTGGCAAGCCGAGGTGATGGCGATTAGGAAGGCCACTTTAAAGGAAAGGAAACAAAATGACACAAGGCGAAGAGGTTCAAAGGGAGAGGACATCAGGACTGAAAGAACCTTGTTGAGATCCCATGTTGGGAAACAGTGAACAGTAGAAGGCCGTAGAGGCGCCACGCAGGAAGTGGCAGATGATGGAATGCTTGGAGATCGTCGTGGAAGAGCCACAATTCAAGACCGAGGAAATGGTGGCCACTTGGCAGCGAAGGGTGTTGGAAGCCAATCTTGAATTGAAACCATCCTGGAGAAATCGCAAGATGCGCATGATAGAAGCTGACAGGGGCTGTACCGCTGACCTTTGGCACCAGGACACAAAAGAGACCCAGGTAGCATTGTAGATACGATTAGTGGACGCTCGACGAGAAGCTTGGATGGTTGAAATGACCTGAGCTGGAACATGAGCCGCCATTAGGAGGCGCCGGTCAATCTCCAGGCGGTCAAATGGTACCAAGTGGGATCCAGGTAACTGAGAACCCCCTGCGTGAGAGCGATCAGATTGTCGGGGATGTTCCAGGGCCTCGCCACAGATAGGGACACCAAGTCCACGTACCAATGCCTCCTGGGCCACAAGGAGCCAAGAGAATGAGTTTGGCCTTCTCCTCTAGGAGCTTCCTGAGGACCCTGGAAATTAAGGGAAAGGGAGGGAAAGCATATAGGAGTCCCAAAAGCCAAGGACTGCGGAGAGCGTCGATGGCCTCCGCCCCGGGATCCCGGGATCTGGAAAAATACCTCGGCACCTGATGGTTGGTGGCTGATGCAAAGAGGTCTACTGAGGGACAGCCGAAGCGTGATGTTATTTCTAGGAAAAGATGGGCAGGAAGGCTCCATTCTGCGTGGTCCAACTGATGGCGACTGAGAGCATCTGCCTGTGAGTTCTCCACTCCCAAAATATGGTCTGCATGAAGATCTGAGATGAGCTTTGGCCCAGAAACCGAGGAGTCCCTCGAATGGGTGCCCCCCATCTTGTTGATGTGGGCTTTAGCCGTCACGTTGTCCGTGAGGACAAGAACATCGTGGGCCTCTACTCTATCTTGGAAATGGAGTAGAGCTAGGCAAATGGCCCTCAACTCCAAGAGGTTGATATTGAGCCGTTGCTCTACGGGCGACCACTGACCTTGCGCTAGATGATGTTCTAAATGAGCCCCCCCAGCCCGAGAGGCTGGCATCCGTGGTGAGCAGCAGTTGCGTTGGGTCTCAGAAGGGGCTGGCCATTGAGATCGCTGAAGAGGTCCAGATCGCTGGAGGGAGGCGATCACCTCGGGGGGGTAGGGCCACCCTGAGCAGGTGCAATGAGCCTTCTGATGGGGTAGGAGGAACCATTGCAAGTCCCTGCTGTGGAGGCGAGACCAAGGGACAATGCCAAAGGTTGAGACCATCTTGCCTAGGAGGCGGGAAAGCTCTAGGACTGAGGAAGAATGGTCCGTGACGCATAGTTGAGCAAGGGAGCACAGACTAGATTGGCGGTCCAGCAAGAGCAAAACTGTAGAGGCTACAGTATCAATGACCGCTCCCCAGTGTTGGAGGTTGGTGGAGGGAGATAGGTGACTTTTGCCCCAATTTATGGAAAAAACGTGACTCTGTAGCACATGGATGGTGGTAGACAAATCTCAGCGTGCCTCATGGATGGAGAAGGATTGGATAAGAATATCATCTAAATAAAATTGAATTCTAATGGGGAAAGATCGGATGTAGACATGTTAGCAGCTCTCAATTGCATCCAGCCCCTTTTCAAACTTTTGTTGGCTTCTCTAGCCCTCCTAAATTTGGCCCTCTTCTGTTTTATGTTTGGAGAATTATGCTGATGGACATAAAGAGTCCTAAGTCCTTTACATAATTTCTTTCAACAAGAATGAAAAGGAATAATGAGCATTACAGGAATTGTTATTCTAAAATAGCTCATAGGAACATTCAGTATATCAAGAAGTGGAGAGTATCAATATACTACTAAACCTCACATATCTGTTTATATCTTTCAGCTGGGTGAAATTGGAAGTATGTATATTGTAGCAGTTATTGAATCAATGTAAGCCAAATGAGCTAACTTACAGAATGCCAGCTCTCATGACTACCATTGAATATGGAATTTGGGAATGTTGTGGCTGCTTCAGAGACATTGCACCTTCCAAGAAATCCTAATTGCAGCTATGATCATTGTATTTCTCTGTTTATGTAAGGAAGTATTTCTGAAAGGATAAACCAATGGGACATTTTGTAAAATTAAAAAAAAAAAAACCCTCTCCCTATATGAATCACATTTCACAAGACTCAAATAGTATAAGAAGAAAAAAATTCTGCTAGATCAGTTTTCAGATTCTTTCCCCTACTGCCCAATTTATATGAGATTTTAAAGGCATACAATATTTTCATTTACATTTTTTAGAATGCAGATTTATTTTAAAATGATGACTAAGCAAGCAATGGAACTGGAGAAAATTCACCTATAAAGTTGTTTAGACAATTAAGGAAAGAGGATATAAAAGCAGAGTTGGATCAGAAATTTGTTTCATGAGAATTGTTAGAAGAATAGTGATTTAGGACTTCTTAAGAGAACCTGAAATTCATGAGAAAAAATAAAATATGCACACAGAAATGTGTGTGTTATAGGACAATAACCACAATCCTATGCATTTTAGCAAAAAGCAACATCCAGCTGCAGTTCATTTTGGAAAAATTGCAGGCAAAGATATGTATATTGAAGAAAGCACATATAAATGTATGCTGCCCAGAGACATTTGTTGAGATGGGCAGCTACAGAAATCAAATCAATAAATAAATGTAGATATTTGTATGTAAATTTTCTTCTGTAGATGGAAACAAGTCTAATTAAATCATTTAGCAAGCCAAAACAAACTGGAGAGCCATAGAAGAAAATTTTCACTTGCAGGCATTTAGAGAAGGCAACCTTAAATACCTACTTAGGAGTTCCAATAAATCTGCAAGCAGTTTTCTTCTGTATCATTGACATTTGCAAGCAGCTTTTATTTGTTTTTGGATCCTACACCTATCTATCTCCCTTCCTTCCTTCCTTCCTTCCTTCCTTCCTTCCTTCCTTCCTTCCTTCCTTCCTTCCTTCCAACATAAATGACTAGACAAAATTCCTATTGGATCCTTCATGTTCAAAGTTCTGAAATACCTTTCTCTTTATATCTTGCTGTTGTCAGTTTCTAATCTAGCCTTATCTAAGATCTCCAGTTTAACTACCCACATCTCTTTATTTTTTTTCCTCTTAAGAGAATTTCAGCTTTTCTTTCTTCTACCCTTTAGCTACTGACTTCTGTTTAAGAACAAGGATACCATTATTCTTCCTTCAAATCCCTTCCCATCTTTCCCCTAAATCAGGCTTTTTTCAAGTGTATATTAAAATGAATTATATAAATTGAATCTCATTTACTTCTTTCATCATCATGCTCTTCAGCTTCAAATGCTGTAGAATAAACACTTCAGGGCAGTGTAAAGTGCCACATATTCTATGTTGATATTACTAGTATTTTAAAAAAAAATAGCAAGCTTGCACTTTAATAATGTTTTGGAATGGGCAATCAGAGCTTCACTTATTTTTGTTTTAGTGGGCTGCAGTGAGTACAGATTACAGATTTGGATGGCAGAAATGTTGCCTCAGACACAAACACATACATCTGGGGACGTGTGATTATATTTTGGGTGCTTGGGAACCAGATCACAATTACAATTGGTTGCAGCAACCCACAGGCATGTATCCACAATTTTGTGAGTTTTTTGCCATTTTCTGGCAGAAAATGGAAAAAAGTGCCCATTGTATATGCTGGGTTCATTTAATGACCATGTAGTTTGCTTAATGACTGTGGTAATTGACTTTATCACATCATAAAAATGGTTGTAAAATTGAGTCTGGTCACTTGGTGCCTCAATTTAAAATCACAATGATTTATGACCAAAAATCTAGGTTCCATTGTAGTCAGAGCTGAGGACTACTTGTAGATCTGATTCAGCTTTTTCAAGATCAGCCACAATTGGCTCAATGCTGCTATTTAGTTGGACATTTAATGCTTATTTTGAAATTTTTCTATACACCATACCAACTGCAAAGAAATTACAAGGATTGTTGGAGAAGCTGTTGAAGCTGGTTGGAAGTCCAAGTATCTTCAGTTTGCACACTACTGATAATTTCTTATATTAAAGTTAGACATATTGCAGCAGACAGTGGAATCTACTGTTTCAGTTTTCTCTTAAAGTTTAGAATATTTTATATTCTTTTTTCTTAGCTACTGAGTGTCCAATATTGAAAGCAGAAGGACATCACTTCACCCAACTATGCAAAGAAAACTTAAGGGTTCCAGGTGAGTTTTCTTTATATTAAATAAGATACTATCCAACATTATTACAATGCATATCTTGATTTTAATAATAAATTTTGCCTTTAATCTTTGGAAATGTGTTTTAATGAAAGGAGAACATTTTATCTGGAGTGTTGCAAATAAGTTTAGAATCAACTTTCTTATTTTTAATTCATCTTCGCTTTAATTACTATGAAAGAATGAAAGCTTAGCATTTCAAGCTCATTCATATGCAAAAGGAAATGACAAGTACATTCCCCAGAGGTTGCCAAGTCAACTACTAGGAGAATTTCCTACGAGTATACTATTAACAATGAAAACTGAGATTTGGATATTGTTGTGGTCAAGATTTCAGATAGCCTATATCAACCATTTTCTCTGTTTTGATAAATTATATTAAGCGGGCAGTTGATGATACAGCTTGATTACATCTTTCAGGTTTTGATTTAGCAGAAAGCTTCTCTTTGAGGCAGACTTCATGTGGAGTTGAAAAACCATGTTTTAAACTGGGGAATGCACCTCTTATCAAAGATTCTCAGTAAGTAATCAAATACCCTATTCTTGGATAACTACCAGTGGCAATATCAAGGGTGATTGAAAGCTATCCAGAGTTGGTTAGAAGATAGGCGGCTTAAATAAATAAAGTATATAAATAAAGGATGGGTTAGTAGAAACCGTCTGCCACAGGTGCTGACAATAAGGCGGTGCAGTGCCTGGTGATGTGGATAATAAGGAGGTATTTGGAGAGTTGGTGGTGTGCAGCCAAATCACTGCTGCCAGCATTCCAATCAGATGTTTGGCTGTGGGTGGCATGGCACAGAAGCAACGGAAAGGGTGGGGGGGTATTAAAATATGATCTGCTTCAAACATTCTAGGTATGCCATTGATAACTATGATCCTGAAATGTTCTTTTATATTCTTCCATAATTCTCTTTTTCATATTCATTGTTACTTTTCCTTGAGTTTCTTTATTCCATGCTTTCTGCAACTTGAATTTCCATTCGCCTGCAATGATTAATTGTTTTTTCTGCAGTTTTTAGTTGGAATTTCAGCCAGGCAAATTCCAAAATAGCTATTTGTTTGTAAACTATGGATAGTCATGTGTGACAGTTCTTTCAGTTTTGTTCACAAATAGTGAAATAAAAAGCTTTTATATGCTGTGTGAAATAGTTTAATTCAATTTCAATTTTAATATAGGTCTTGGAAAACTTTAATATGTTTATTTAAAAAAACTAGAGAGAAGATCATATAGCTGAACAGATTATTATTTCATATGAATAGAACTTTCCATGGTGGCTATCAGCTTATTTTATCTTTTCTCCTCTGCTGCTAGTGAAATTGTAGTTTGTATATATTGTTCCTCAACACTCACTCAATATAAATTGGAAAAAAGAACATTTACAAAAAGAAAAAAATGTGTAAAGCTGCCTGATTTTTCTCCATTCTTTATGAACAACTTCACAAATGAATAAATGAACATGATAAAGCCAACAGTTTAGCATGTGTGCATACCCAACACCAACTGCTCTGCAGCTTTTATTGTTTATTTGTTCTCTTTCCTCCTCAAAGATCTGATTACTCTATAAATGTTCCTAAACAAAAAATATGATTTGTGGCTTTTGATGAAAGGACAATTTAAAAGGAAATTGACATCAGTCTGCACACAGTGCATTAACTTATATCCCTAAACCATTTTTAAATCCATCATCTGTGTACAGTGCTTTTGAAGAAGAAAGCCTCAAATTTGTATGTTTCTGTACACTTATAAACTTCTACCACACAGTTAATAAGGTGAGCTTATAAAGAAACATTTAGGAATTTATAGTTCTGCAATGAGAATATTATCTTGCTTGCTGAATTACAGCATATTGCTTTTTGGGGGTGCTCCTTTTCCTTCACAAATTATTTGATTTTAAAAGACACAGAAGTGCAACCTAATGACACACTTTGAGAGTTCATCTCTTCTCTTAGAATATGTAAAAAGATTCTGGTATATAGTGAGTAGCATAATACTGGTCTCTCTACTACAGGAAATGAAAGGATATCTGATTAAGCTGACTTGAAAGTGTCAAGTAGCTTGGCAAATATCCCCTTACATTTCACTCATTCAGCTATAGTATGAGTGACTGTAAACTATGCTAGGCTTATTCTGTTGTGTGATGCCATTTTATTTTTCAGTGGGGACTTACAACTATTGATGTTTCTGTAAAAAGTTATTCTTTCCCACAATAAGGCAGGAAGTGATGGATTGTGGATTTTTTAAAAACATATGTATGATTTATATGGAAACAAAGGCAATGCTATTTCTGATACCTTCATTGTGTGTTACTGTGATTGATGGCATAAGCAAAGAACTAGTTCTAGAGAACACTAAGTAGAACTCCACTTGTATGATGGTTTAAAGATTTCTCCATCTCCAAATTACTTTTTAAAAAAAATTATTTATTATTAAATTATTATGCCGCCCATCTTGCCAAGGCAACTCTAGGTAGCTTACAGTCAAACAAGGTGAATTATAGCCCCCCAATTTTTTTTTCTGATGGCTGACAGTCCCTCTGTATTAATGTAAGATGGAGAATCAGAGCCTACAGCTGGCTGAGAAAACTGGGAGTTACATAAGTAATGCCGTGATTTGTAGCTTTTGATGTGCCTTCCAACACTAAAGGTCGATTTAGGCTATTTCTGATACAATAATGAGATTATCAAAAAAAATTCTGAGCTAGAATGAAACAGTTCAGTGCTTTTCCAGTTGCTGCTGCTGCTTCTTCTTCTTCTTCTTCTTCTTCTTCTTCTTCTTCTTCTTCTTCTTCTTCTTCTTCTTCTTCTTCTTCTTCTTCTTCTTCTTCTTCTTCTTCTTCTTCTTCTTCTTCTTCTTTTTTCTTGTAAGGAGAGTCTCTTTTTGTATGTCTGGGTACAGATAGTGTCTAGGCACATTGGTCTCTTCTCCCAAGACTTACGCAATTTCTCCAGAATGACACAGAGAATGAAATCGCAGCATGATATAAATAGTAAAGATTTGTTTTCCTCCTCTATGAGTAGAAAAGTCTCATACTGTCATGTTTGCACATTGTCTTGTTTAACCATGGCTTTTGAATAAATTATAGCTTGCTGGATACGTGGAACGCACTAAGCCAAAACCTAATAACTAATACCTTATGGTTTAATTTGATATATGAATCTATTCAATGCCTCAGATTAATCTATTTAGAGGAATATATCTTTGCATTTGCAGAGATACATGATTTGGGATATATCCTATTGTTTCTATTGCTAATAATATTCAGATAAATTAGATTGTCTGTTGGAATTTCTACTCTTCACTGGGTTGTGTTTCCCCTCAGTGTGTTTCAAATGAGAATCATCCAGACTGAAGAAAGCTTTGCAGCGTATTTTAGGAGAGGAAGAAATAGATATAATTTGAGCATCCAACACAGAAAATTGCTTTGTCAGTACCCTAGTCTCATACTTGGATGAACCACTTTGTTATCTCTCATTCTTTAACTTTTACAAATAATAGTCACTATAGGGAAGGCAGTAACGATTCTAGCATTGATATATGTTTTGGGTTTAATAAGTAATATTTTATTAATACTACTTTCAATACTATACTACTACTAATTATACAAATAGTTGTATAATTACAAGTAGCATAATTATAGTATCTAGCATGTAGATACTACTGGTATAAATTTGGCAGTCCAAATTCAAAATAATAAGAAACTAAAGACTTGTGGAAGACACATATTCTGACATAAAATATTGTATTAACATATTATTTTATTATGTACTCCATTTAAAATATTTCTGAAAGTACATATTTTTCAGGAGGAGGATCATTTGCATAGAAGAGTTTTAACACATATTCTAACAGACGTGACTCTCTTTAATGTTAACGTTTGCATTTATATAATAATTTGGATGCTTTCTGTCAAGTGGTGTTGAGAAGGAATTTTCACCATTTCTTCTGTCAGCACTATGATTTCCCATTCCCACATTGTACAGATTAATAGCAATTTAAACTATGTTCATTACACTGAAATTAAAATCCATAAGCGGTCTTCAATTTGCAGTTACTCTGCATAAAACCAGTAAATATGAATAAAAAAAGAGGACCTACATTTTTATATATATACAGTACATCATTTTCTTCTGAGATGCTAGAATGCAAATAACTATTGAATTTTAACAGAACAATTGTATATTGTTCTGTAAGTGAATTCGATAGGAATTCATGTATGGCTTTAATTTTAAACTCATTTATGAGGCCCTAGGACATTGGGATTTATTTCTACCTGGAAACTAAAATACATAGATATGTAAAACCTCTTCCTTAAACAATACAATGGATTCAGATTTAGATGTACAATGCAATTGATAGAAATAGAGGATGATGCCCCTATAAACCCACTCCCAATTCTACACAAACAATAAAAAACTGTACTAAGTAGGCAGGCTACTATACTACTTACAATAGACTATTACTGGAAAAACTGAGGGGAAGGAGAAATAACTTCAGAATTGAGCAGAAGCACTTTTCCTGAGTCCCATCGCATATAATTGGGAACTTAAATCACTATTCTGCATTTCCTTGGTCCCTGCATTATTTTTCCATTGATTTAGCAATATAAGACAATCTGAATGACCTCATACCCAGAGTAAATTAATTTAGGATGTCCAGAGATGCCCTTCAATTAGTCCATTTCAAAGGGACCTATCTTGAGTCCCAGCTCTATATCTGCAGTGTCTTTTCAACTCTAGTTGTGGTGTTGACAAAAAAAAAGTACCTTTTTTAATTGATGGGATTTATTTAGCCTTCTAGATTATGAAGCATAGTATCACCAACTTAAATGGGAAAAATCAGATTTTTCTGTAAAGTTTCAAAAATTTACAGTGAAGATACAGTGAAGCAGTAGATAGTGTCTACCTTGTAGGTTTTACTATCAACAATAAAGGAACTAGCAATCAAGAAATCTGTATATAGACTAGCATTTGGTAAAATAGCAGTAAAGGGTTAGAAACTATATACAGGTTTTATGATATACAACCGTGATAGCGAACCTATGGCACATGTGCCACAGGTGGCATGTGGAGCCATATTGGTGGGCATTCGAGCTCAGCTCTGCCGCGCATGCGCGTGCCGGCCAGCTGATTTTCGGGCCTTCTGGGCCCACCAGAAGTAGGGAAACAGGCTGTTTCCTGCCTCCGGAGGGCCTCGGGGGAGTGGGGAGGGCCCGTTTCTTGCTCTCCCCAGGCTCCAGAGTCTTTCTAGGAGCCTGGGGAGAGTGAAAACGGCCTTCCCCACCCCCCCGGAGGCCCTCCAGAAGCCAGAAATGGCCTGTTTGCCAACTTCTGGTGGGACTAGAAGGCCCATTTTCTGCTCTCCCCATGCTCCAGAGCCTTTCTAGGAGCCTGGGGAGGGCAAAAATGGCCTCTCCCCCCCCCGGAGGCCCTCTGGAGGCTGGAAATGGCCCGTTTGCCTCCAGAGGGCCTCCAGGGGCATGTGGAAGACCATTTTCACCCTCCCCAGGCTCCTAGAAA